TTGTAAGTCATTCATACTTGTTTATGAAAGCTGAGAGAAAATTTGCATGCATTTACTTTTAATAGCAGTAAAAACATATATTTGCAAAGATTTTTTAGACTTGAGGTAACTTTTAAAAATAGTTTAAAAGTTAATGAATAAAACTGTGACAACGATATAAATTTAGTGTTATTATTAAAATGTGGTCTTATTATATAATTAGTCAATGATTCATAAATTGATTGGACTAAATGTGGAAAAGGCGTAATAAAGAAAAATTAATAAAACTTTTTATATGTACTTAATAGAATTTTATTAAATTGAATATCTTAAGTAATTATTCAATGATGGAAAAGACATTAATAAATAGATACGGAAAACGTTACGAATGAAATGACGCAACGAAAGAAAGAAAAGATGATAGACTCGTGGGAAAACCATTGTGAAAATTTTCACTCGCCGGTGAAAGACACACAAACACGCGCCTCAGTTCCTGCTAATTAAAGATAATTGTGATGGTGATGAGGAGGAGGAATAGGAAAAAGGATGAAGAAGGAAAGACACCGTCGAAGTGAAAACAGAAACGGTGAGAGAGGAAGTGCGACGTGAACGTTCGGAACTGGTTCTCTTCGATTAATACATAAATCATGCGACCATATGTTCCTCGAGCTCAAAAAAGAAGTACAATTTCTTTGCGAAATCGCAGCGAGAAATATTAAAAAAAAATGAAGTAAAAAGGAAACGAAGAGTTGCGTAACGAAGCGTGCGTATATCTCAGCTATTAGTATTATCATTATCGGTGGTGGTTCCGCCGTGAATTTGCGCAAGTCCGAGTCGAATTTCGTAAAACGCAACAATTGTTGTTTGTTAGGTAACGCGCGATTGTCGTAAGTCGCTAACGACTTGGTGATTTGAGGAAATGGCGAATAACAAAAAAAAAAACGATAACATTTAAAGAAAAATAATATATGTATTTAACAGAGTATTAAAGAATATTAAACATTAAAAGACATAAATTAATAACAATGTTTTTTTTTTATGTATGAGGAAGAGATGATTATTAATTTTTTTTTTGGATCACATAGTTTTGGATTTGGGGATTTTTGTTTTGTTTAGTAGTGGTGTTGATCGTGGTGATGGTGGTCGTGCACGTGGACTGGGATTGGTACCTTGACTGGGTATGGGACAGGTTTTTCTACGTGGACTGGGACGTGTCTGGTGATTTCCACTGGGTATGGACGGTCTACTGGTACTTTTACTGGGTACGGTACTGGTTTCTCGACGTGGACTGGGACTTGCTTGTAGACTGGGAAGGGTTGTGGTACTGGTACTTTCACTGGGACTGGGTACGGTTTCTCGACTGGGTAAGGTACTGGCCTATCTACGTGCACTTTGACTGGGTATGGTACTGGTTTCTCCACTGGGTACGGGATTTTCTTCTCGATGTGGACTGGGTACGGTTGTGGGACATGGACTGGGTATGGACGGTCGACTGGGACTTGAACTGCGTATGGTACGTGCTTGACGACTGGGTACGGTTGTGGAATGTGCACTGGTACTTTGACTGGGTATGGTACCTGCTTCTCGACTGGATAGGGTTGTGGGACATGTACTTTAACGGGCACTGGCACGTGCTTGATCACTGGGTAGGGTTGTGGAACATGAACCTTGACAGGGTATGGTTTATCGATGTAGACCTTGACTGGAACGTGCACGTGCTTCTCGACTGGGTACGGTTGTGGTACAGGTACTGGTACCTTAACTTCTACTTTTACCGGGTACGGAATGTGCTTCTCCACTGGGTACGGTTGCGGTACCGGTACCTTTACGGGATACGGGATGTGCTTCTCGACAGGAACCGGAATATGCTTGGTCACCGGGTACGGTTGCGGAATACCCTTGTAATAAGTGATAGTCTTCTCAACATCAGTCGAGTGTCCCAGATTGATTGGTCCGTATCCATGACCACCACCGAATCCAGCGCCACCACCGTATCCGGCGCCACCTCCGAATCCATGGCCACCGCCGAATCCGTGTCCACCGCCGCCTCCTCCGATCCCCAAACCTTGTCCAACGTGATATCCGTTATCGAAATCTCCGCCGTATCCGTATCCCAAATCCAAAAGACCGCGTTTCGCCTGCTTCTTATCCGTCGCGCCCTTCTCCTCAGCCGTTACGGCCAGGACTAAGATTGCGAGGCACAGCTGCAGCAAAAGAAAATCAATTAAACAAATTAAATACACAAACACACACACTTTTCCCCACTCACCAAATGCTTCATTGCGTCTATGTGCTTTTGGTATGTGAATCTCCCTCGAGTTCAAGAAGTGAACTGCTTAATGCCTGCACGTCTTCGCCGGCTTATATACTGCCGCAACACTTTCGCCAATTTTAAAACTCGGGGCTTATTATTATTATGAACTATTCTTGCATCGGGATTATCTAACACACACACACTCACTCACTCACTAGGTGCTCAACTAGGCCAGAAAGTGTGGATTTGTGTGCGAGCGAGTGAGACCGTCTCTCTGCACGGCACCATCGAATTTCTTTTAATTAAATCTCGAGCGTAATCCGGTAACCATAACCAATTAAAATCAACAGCAAAAATCGCGGTCACATCTAACAACAAAGACAACAAAGCAATTAATTCTTTAATAAAAAAAAAACAATACTTTACAATTCTAAAACTATTTAATTTTCTTTGTAACAATTCTGACAATTTCCTTAAAATAACATTTTGAAATTTAGTACTGAAGAATCAATTAATAAATTGATTTATTTGCAATCTATTAGAAATCAAATGTAATGAAAATATAAGCATTTTTCAATAGAAATTAATCAATTTAACAAGTTTAAAAACAAGATTTTCATTAAGCAAGATTAATATACTTCACTTAAACTTTAATCTTCTATAATAATTGTATAGAACTATCTTATAATCTTATTGCAACACGATTCAAATTCAAAATAAATTTTCCTGCATTTATCAATTTTTTTTCATAATGTAGTTTCAATTTTTAACTAAAATTTAACCGGTAACCATAACCAATTAAAATCAACAACAAAAATCTCAAACAAAGACAACAAAGCAATTAATTCTTTAAAAAAAAACAATACTTTACAAATTCTAAAACCACTTAATTTTCTTTGTAACAATTCTGACAATTTCCTTAAAATAACATTTTGAAATTTAGTACTGAAGAATCTTAAAACTTCAATTAATAAATTGATTTATTTGCAATCTATTAGAAATCAAATGTAATGAAAATATAAGCATTTTTCAATAGAAATTAATCAATTTAACAAGTTTAAAAACAAGATTTTCATTAAGCAAGATTAATATACTTCACTTAAACTTTAATCTTCTATAATAATTGTATAGAACTATCTTATAATCTTATTGCAACACGATTCAAATTCAAAATAAATTTTCCTGCATTTATCAATTTTTTTTCATAATGTGTTTCAATTTTTAACTAAAATTTAACCGGTAACCATAACCAATTAAAATCAACAACAAAAATCTAGGTTACAGACAACAAAGTAATTAATTCTTTAAAAAAAATACTTTACAAATTCTAAAACCACTTAATTTTCTTTGTAACAATTCTGACAATTTCCTCAAAATAACATTTTGAAATTTAGTACTGAAGAATCTTAAAACTTCAATTAATAAATTGATTTATTTGCTAGAAATATCAATAAATACTTGCAAATTAAGGAATGTTTAAAGAATTTTTTATAAATAATATAAGAAAACAAAAATATTATTGTAAATGTTTAATGGATTTTTGTACTAATCTGGTAATAATATTTATTTGTAAGTCATTCATACTTGTTTATGAAAGCTGAGAGAAAATTTGCAGCATTTACTTTCAATAGCACTAAAGACATATATTTACTAGATTAAGTAAAGCCAATATCTTGAGGTGATAAAATGTTTGCAAACATTCGAAATTGTTTAATTTTGTTATATAAAAATATACTTGAAAATATGCAAAAGGAAAATATTATAAATGGGTTTAAATTTTGTATTTATTTGCAAGGATTTTTAAGACTTGAGTTAATGAATAAAACTGTGAAAAAGATATAAAGTTTGTGTTTTTATTAAAATGTGGTCTTATTATATAATTAATCAATGATTAATGAATTGATTGGAGTAAATGTGGAAAAGGCGTTAAATGAAATTGTAACAAAGGAAAACTTTTTATATGTACTTAATTTAATTAAATTGTATATCTTAAGTAATTAGTCAATGATGGAAAAGATACGGAAAACGTTACGAATGAAATGACGCAACGACAGAAAGAAAAGATGATAGACTCGTGGGAAAACCTTTGTGAAAATTCTGACAATTTCCTCAAAATAACATTTTGAAATTTAGTACTGAAGAATCTTAAAACTTCAATTAATAAATTGATTTATTTGCAATCTATTAGAAATCAAATGTAATGAAAATATAAACATTATTCAATAGAAATTAATCAATTTAACGAGTTTAAATACAAGATTTTCAAATATTTCATTACAAACTTAATCTTTATACAATTTTCAATTTAAACAATTCAAAACTAATTTCACAAACAATACTCGAAAAAACTCTTGAATTACTCAAATTTATTCCATAAATTATCAAAATTTTGTCATTTTCTAAAGCTTTATTCAGAAACAAGCTCATTCATATAAATACTAAATTGGAAAAAAAAATCAATTTTTTTTAATTCCAAATAAAAATTTAATTAGATCAATTTATTTAATGAAATTTTAATAACATTTTAATTCCTTTAGCTTTCCCATAAATAATCTCATTTAAGTAATTTAATTGATTCGCAATAATTCAGAAATTATTGGAGCTCGAAAATCAATACTTCATCAATTAAATTAATGCAAAGTTGTAGAATTAGTTGATCCAACATTGAAATTTAATTGAAACAATACAAAAAAAAAGTTTGAATTATGTCGAGTGAAAAATTATGTCTGTTTCATTCTCTAATTGTGAGAATGTTTATTACGGAATGAAGAGTTGCTTAATTATGGAAAGCTAATGTCGATTAGTCAAAGCAAAGTTTAGTAAACATTGCAAAAAGAAAAGAGAGAAAGAAACAAGTTTATACATTTACAACGAATATAAAAATTAAGCTAAAATTAGTAATCACCTAATAAGTATACGTTTTAATCGTGTTTATTGCTAAATAAAACAGTTTTTGTTACATGATTATTCAACAAAAAATAGTATAAAAGTTATGTAAATAAACATAAATAGGAATGTGAATTAATTGAGACTAAATTTTGAGAATTTACAAGTTATGTAAATCAAATGATCCAATGAATGAATATACAAAATGAGAGCTAAATTGAAGTGTTTTTGAATGATTTGTATTTTTCAAGTGAATTTTATCGGAAATCGGCGTTGAACTTTATTGGAAATTAAATAAGATTATCGGCGCGCATAAACGCAGGAATTGTATTGATTCCAACATCGAAACTCCCCGCACAAACACACAAACACACGAACACAAAACCCGAATTCATAAATAAACTGAAACTCGCAATCTGGAAATCATTACTACCCCTAATCCATCATCGACCTACAAATATCGCAGCGCAACGCAAACATGCACACAGCACACTCGATTATTGAAGAACCGACCACACCTTATAGAAAGATAAAATAAATAAATAAATAAACAGAAATTATTAACAAATTCAACTTGGATAATTAAAAATGTTCACTTAATTTGCAGAATAAATAGGAATAAGTTAATTTTTCATCGTTAATATGAGCTGCAATTAAAACATTTTCTTTTTCTTCTCTTCAGCTTCCTGTTAATTAATAATTAAAATTAAAGAGAAAATAAATTAATCGATTTATTACGAAATACTTATTCGCATTAAATGTGCAGAAGTGAATTATTTATTATTATTATTATTGTTATATGTTTTTTTTTGTTTAAATTAGTTTTGATTGGGCAAGAAACGTCATTCTTGTAATGGGTTTCGTTCCAGTAGAGCGCGATTCAATAATTGTATTATCTTTTAAGGTGAAAGCTCTCCTTTTTTCCTGCTTCTCTTATTATAGCGAATCAAACAGTAATTAGTGATAATAATAGAATTGCTGTTGCTAAATCAGACCTTGATCTCTCGCTCTGTCTGTCTCTCTGTGTGTGTGCGTTTGTGTTTCTCTACGCTTGGTTTACATTAAATTAAATTCTAATTACAGTTACATTATTATTACCAAATTTCTTATTTATTTCCATTAGATTTCTTTAACAAACATTCACTTATAAAAGTCATGAATTTCTATGCTTCAGCTACTAAAGGTATTATGAAAAAAAAATTAAAACCAAGGTTTTCCATACAATTTTTACTTTCCATTCGTGAGAAGAATTTTTCATTTACAAAAATTATCTTGAATAATATCAAAAATTATTTCTATTTTGTACAATTTTTCATCAACAAAAACAGTTAATCAATAATGTTGTTGTATTAAGGAATTATTTCCAATTTTTTGGGTTTTTTTCAATAATTTTTCTTTTATCTAAGCTTATTTCTATATGTTATATAACATTTTGATAAAATACAATTTGTGGATTTGCAGGAAACGTTACTTTACAACAAATTTCAATACAATTTTTTGTTGATTTTCAGAAAATGTTTCTTTACATCATTCCCAAATAGAAAATTTTGTTAACATAAAGTTTGTGGATTTTCAGAAAACGTTACTTTCCATCATTTTCAAATGGAAAAGTTTATTAACAAATCATTTTTGGATTTTCAGAAAACGTTACTTTCCATCAATTTCAAATAGAAAAGTTTATTAACATATCATTTGTGGATGTGCAGAAAACGTTACTTTCCATCAATTTCAAATATTTTTTTATTAAAGTGAATATGCGGAAACTTTTTCCATCATATTCATATAGAATTGTTTGTTAACACAAAATTGTGTGTATTTTTATATGTAACATTTGTGTACTTTCTATCACATTCAATTTAGAAATTTCGTTAATGTAGAATTTGCAGGAAACGTAACGTATTTAAATGTTCTAGTCGACAAAAATCCGGGCAGCGCCTCATTCGAAAGTTCCAGTTGCAAAAGAACTTGATAAATACGTGCGTTACGTGTCCAGTATTATATTTTTAATTTTTCGTTAAGAAATTTATTAAACGGAAATCACTTTTCTATGATACATGTGATTTTAGTTATTTCGCTTGATTTAATTGATCGTTTCAGTAAATGAGAAACAACAACAAAACAAAACAGACAAGCAGGAAATTACCGGTGGAAATGGTGGAATGTGATAGTCCGAAAAATCCGGCGACGAGCGCCTCATTGGAAAGTTCCAGTTGCAAAAGAAGTCGATGATGATGATGGTACGGCGAGCAAGAGAAATCCGCCAAATTGGACGCGCGTACACGTTTACTTACACATGGAAATTGAGCGGAAACATTAAGAAACCGCGCGCGAAGATTCTCACTTTGTATCATCATCATCATCAACATCCTCCAATTAGCGACGTAATTATCGACTCATTTAACTAATTTAACGTGCATTAATAATTATTAAATTTCTGGACCGTTCCCAAATTGGCAACGGTTTTCCAAAAAAGCGAATCGACGCCCAAATAATGGAAACTTGCGTTGCACAATTTTCGAGAAGGAAAGTTTTCTTTTCGCATAATAAATGAATCGATTGCGTTGCGTGAGCGAACATGTGGTAAATGAAGAAAATGCGTTCGAGTTATTTATAAAAAAAAATATATTTATAAATATATAAAGTGTTTTTTTTTTGGAAAAGATAAAAAGAAGTATAATACATTTATAAAAAAATAGAAACAATTAAGGGATGGAAAGGTACTTAAGAAGTAAGTAATAAAAAAAAACAATTAGGATAACAATTCGTTGAGGTGGATGTTCCTTCATTCGTCGATGGTGGAATGAGCGAGTATCACTTAGTAGTGGTGATCGTAGTGATCGTAATGATCGTGGTTGTCATGGTGATCGTGATGATCGTGGAAGTCGTGGACGTCGTGGTGGTCATGGTGATGATCGTGCACGTGGACTGGGACTGGTACCTTGACTGGGTATGGGACCGGTTTTTCTACGTGGACTGGGACGTGCTTGGTGATTTCCACTGGGTATGGACGGTCCACTGGTACTTTAACTGGGTACGGTACTGGTTTCTCGACGTGGACTGGGACTTCCTTGTAGACTGGGAAGGGTTGTGGTACTGGTACTTTAACTGGGACCGGGTAGGGTTTTTCGACTGGGTAAGGTACTGGCCTATCTACGTGCACTTTGACTGGGTATGGTACTTGCTTCTCTACTGGTACTGGGATCTTCTTCACGATGTGGACTGGGTACGGCTGTGGGACATGGACTGGGTATGGACGGTCTACAGGTACCTTCACTGGGTATGGCACTTGCTTGACGACTGGGTACGGTTGTGGAATATGCACTGGTACTTTGACTGGGTATGGTACTTGCTTCTCGACTGGGTACGGTGCTGGGACATGTACTTTAACGGGCACTGGCACGTGCTTGATCACTGGGTAGGGTTGTGGAACATGAACCTTGACAGGGTATGGTTTATCGATGTAAACCTTGACTGGTACCGGGACGCGCTTCTCGACTGGGTACGGTTGTGGTACCGGCACTGGGATCTTCACTGCTACCTTGACTGGGTACGGGATGCGCTTCTCCACCGGGTACGGATGTGGTACCGGAACCTTGACAGGGTACGGAATGTGCTTTTCAACAGGTACCGGAATATGCTTTGTCACCGGGTACGGTTGCGGAATACCCTTGTAATAAGTGATGGTCTTCTCAACATCTGTCGAGTGTCCCAGATCAATTGGTCCGTAATGATGATGGTGATGGTGTCCGAACGACTCCAAACCGCTTCCAAAACCGTGACCTCCTTGTCCCACATGGTACCCATGATCGTACTCGTCGCCGTACCCGTAACCCAAATCCAAGAGACCGCGTTTCTCCTGCTTCTTCTCGCTGCCACCATCGATTGCTTTCTTCTCCTCCGCCTTATGCCCTAAGGCTACTGCGGCGAGGACTAAGATTGCAAAGCACACCTGAAAAACAATTTTAAAAAATATATCCACGAAAATATTTAAACTTCTTCACTCACCATCGACCTCATGGCTGTCTCTCGAATGAATTTCTCCCGAGTTCAACTGCTGAACTGCTTAATGTTGAAGACTCACCGGTTCTTTTTATACCTCCACATCACTTTCGCTATTTCGGCGGCGGCGTAACTCTTTTTTTTTTATTTCACTCACGCACTCTTCAAAAAAAAAATAACCCACACAAAGAACAACCAACCAAAAAAAGAAACATTCCTCATCGAGCACACCAAGAAGTGCAATTCTTTTATCACCAATAATTTTAAGCAAAAATCAATAACTCAAATCAATTTTTTTGTGTGCAATTGTATCGTTCCACATACGGCGTTTCACTTTCTACGATTCAAGATCAAAGTTAAAGCCGTTTTGATTGCGAGGAAATTAGAAACGGTTTTTGCACTAGTTTTGCCTTAAATTAGCATTAGAAGTAAATTTTAGTTTCATTTAACGTTTGATTCTTTTTTTCCATCAAATCAATCAATTTCATTCAATTAACATTAATTAATAATTAATATAAATTCATTTACAAATAAAATGTAAGAATTTTCTTCATTTATCCAAATATTATTGAAGTTGAAGATTTTTTTTAAATTTGAAACACATATTTTATACTTAATTGATAAATTGATCACATTTTCATGAAATTACAATAATATCAATGAAACATTAAATTACAATTTCAATTACATAAAGAATAAATTTGATCTCCAATTTTTGTAGAAAATAGACTTATTTTATGATAGTTTTAAACTAAAATTTAAAAGTTTGCAAAGATTTGATTATATAAACAAACATTTACGTTTATAAAACATGTTTTTATTTTTTTTTGTAGAATTTTTAAATACAAAGGAAATAAAATGGAAAAATCAATTTCTAATTAAAAGTATGAACGTTTTCTCTGAAATTAACAGTTTATAGAAAATTAATTTAGCTATTTTCTATATAAAGTCAAACAATATAAGGAAATTACAAAGTTTCAATAATTAAAAGAATAAAAATTCTGTATACTTTGTTAAATTTATGTAAGATTCAATAAATTTTGATTTATTTACAAAGTTTTTCTACAGATTATATTTATTTATTACAAATTATTAATTGTTATTTTATTATAATAGGTTTAAATTTCAACTATTTATTATTATCAATTACTACTAGAAAATATAATGAAATTCAATAATAATTTATATAATATTTTAAAAAAATTTAAGAAATTTGGTGAAATTGTCAAATTGATGAATTTGAAAAAAATTATTAAAAATAATCAAATTGTTCAATTTCCGATAAACAGATTTGAACTAAATAGAAAATTTATTAAAAATAATCAATCGAATTAGGTGAAAATTGTCCTTTTTTCACAATATTTACATGTTCTTCCTGATGTTTTTTTTCAATAATTTAAACATAATTAAAGGACTAATTAATATAAGAATCTAAACAGACGTTTCTTAATTTGAAACAGTAATTAGTTGACAAAATGTCAATGATTGATGAATGTTAAATGCTGCCACAAATTAATATTTTGCAATCATTGTTTAAAGACAAACGCGTTTGGTAAAACTTCTTTCAATAATTAACAAACGATAAAGCAATTCAAATGTTAATTGTAGATACCAGATGGAATCTGTCGAAACCGAAAACATATTGTATATTGGTAATTTGTTGTGTGCAATGCGACGTTTTGTAAAAAAGAAAGAAATCCAATTTTAATGATTGTTAATTAAAGTTTTGCTGCTTATTGTTTGCCAAAAAAAAGACAACAACAAAGAAATGTAAGAGAACGAAAGAAATTGTGTGTAAAAAAAATGTTAATTAAATTTTACGTACAGATTTCGATAATTGTCTGCAAATAAAAAAATAATGAATGATCTAGTAAAAACAATCATTGAAAGGAAATGAAAAAAATATAACAATTTGGATAAAAATGAATAATTTTATTCTGATTTTTATGAAATTAATGTTAACAATTTTTTGGTGTAATTTGCAGATTGTAATTAAAATATTTTCTGCAAATTAAATAAATGTAAGAATCTGGAAATGAACAATTAATTAAATTTAATTATGTTTTGTGTATGAGTTTCGATGATTGTCTGCAAGAAAAAATGAATGTAAGAGGAAAGTGAATTGTAACAATTTTTGTTGTGAATTTCTGTTATTTATGATTAACATTTCTTTTTAAATTAAGTTTTGTCTACAAGTTTCGATGATTGTTAGCAAAATAGAATGAGAAAAAAGAACAAAATTAATTAACAATTTGTCTGCAAAATTAGAAGATTAATATAGAACGAAATAATAGTTGTTTTTTTGTGTAATTTTGCAGTAAATTGTAATTAAAATATTTGTGTACAGATTTAGATGATTTTCTGCAAATTAAAGGAATGTAAGAATCTGGAAATGAACAATTAATTAAATTTAATGATGATTGTCTGCAAGAAAAAATGAATGTAAGAGGAAAGTGAATTGTAACAATTTTTGTTGTGAATTTCTGTTATTTATATTTAACATTTCTTATTAAATTAAGTTTTGTGTACGAATTTTGATGATTGTCAGCAAAATAGAATGAGGAAAGAGAACAAAATTAATTAACAATTTGTCTGCAAAATTAGACGATTAATATAGAACGAAATAATAATTATTTTTTATTTGTGATTTTTTGCAGTAATTTGATGGAGAAAGGTTCGTCTTAAAACATGTTTTTTGTCTTATTTTGAGGTGCTTTATTTTTTTTTGTAGTATTTTCAAATATAAGGGAAATAAAAGGGAAAAATCAATTTCTAATTAAAAGTATGAACGTTTTTTCTCTGAAATTAACAGTTTATAGGAAATTAATTTAGCTATTTACTATATAAACAATATAAGGAAATTACAAAGTTTCAATAATTAAAAGAATAAAAATTCTGTTTCATCAAATTACGAATATTTTGTTAAACTTATGTAAAATTCAATAAATTTTGATTTATTTACAAAGTTTTTCTACAGATTATATTTATTACAAATTATTAATTGTTATTTTATTATAATAGCTTTAAATTTGAACTATTTACAATCGAATTAATTATATATATATTATTAATAATAGTTAACAATTTTTTGGTGTAATTTGCAGTAAATTGTAATTAAAATATTTGTGTACAGATTTAGATGATTTTCTGCAAATTAAATAAATGTAAGAATCTGGAAATGAACAATTAATTAAATTTAATTACGTTTTGTGTATGAGTTTCGACGATTGTCTGCAAGAAAAAAGGAATGTAAGAGGAAAGTGAACGAAAGAATTAATAATTTTAACAATTTTTGCTGTAATTATTTATGATAAACATTTTTTTTAATTAAATTTTGTCTACAAGTTTCGATGATTGTTAGCAAAATAGAATGAAGAAAGAGAACAAAATTAATTAACAATTTGTCTGCAAAATTAGACGATTAATTTTACCAATTGTTTGGTGTAATTTGCAGTAAATTGTAATTAAAATAGTTGTGTACAGATTTAGATGATTTTCTGCAAATTAAAGAAATGTAAGAATCTGGAAATGAACAAATTAATTAAATTTAATTACGTTTTGTGTATGAGTTTCGATGATTGTCTGCAAGAAAAAAGGAATGTAAGAGGAAAGTGAACGAAATAATTAATAATTGTAACAATTTTTGCTGTAATTATTTATGATAAACATTTTTTTTTAATTAAATTTTGTTTACAAGTTTCGATGAATGTTAGCAAAATAGAATGAGGAAAAAGAACAAAATTAATTAACAATTTGTCTGCAAAATTAGACGATTAATTTTACCAATTTTTTGGTGTAATTTGCAGTAAATTGTAATTAAAATATTTGTGTACAGATTTAGATGATTTTCTGCAAATGAAAGAAATGTAAGAATCTGGAAATGAATAATTAATTAAATTTAATGATGATTGTCTGCAAGAAAAAATGAATGTAAGAGGAAAGTGAATTGTAACAATTTTTGTTGTGAATTTCTGTTATTTATGATTAACATTTTTTCTTAATTATGTTTTGTCTACAAGTTTCGATGATTGTTAGCAAAGTAAAATGAGGAAAGAGAACAAAATTAATTAACAATTTGTCTGCAAAATTAGACGATTAATATAGAACGAAATAATAGTTGTTTTTTGTGTAATTTTGCGGTAAATTGTAATTAAAATATTTGTGTACAGATTTAGATGATTTTCTGCAAATTAAAGAAATGTAAGAATCTGGAAATGAACAATTAATTAAATTTAATGATGATTGTCTGCAAGAAAAAATGAATGTAAGAGGAAAGTGAATTGTAACAATTTTTGTTGTGAATTTCTGTTTTCCATTCTTTTTAAATTAAGTTTAGTGTTCGAGTTTCGATGATTGTCAGCAAAATAGAATGAGGAAAGAGAACAAAATTAATTAACAATTTGTTTGCAAAATTAGACGATTAATATAGAACGAAATAATAGTTGTTTTTTTTGTGATTTTTGCAGTAATTTGATGGAGAAAGGTTCGTCTCTGCCGTGGAGCGACGTCCTGTTCCAAGCGACGGGAGAGTCGCGGCTGAGCGGATCAGCGCTGAGGGATTACTTCAGACCTTTGGAGGAATGGCTGAGGAACGAGAATCTCCGCACGCAGGAATACGTGGGATGGTTGTACGACGGTGATTACTGCAAGCAGAGCATCCAGACGGCAGGTCTTCAGGTGTACGGAGGATTCTACAATCGCGCTCATTCTGTAACCGACGTTTCCTTTTTCTTGTTAGTATTCACCGTATCCCTGACCATTCTCATCGACGCCCTGAATTAACAAAACCGACTTCCTGACTTCTTTCCAATTCCGAAAACGAACGAACACCTTGCCCAATCCATCCAATACATGTGCAAGCGACGACTCTCATCATCGATAAGCGAAAAGATGATTATCTTTTGACCCAGAGAGAGAAAGTCCTTACCTTTAAAATATTTTATAAACGCATATACTCCTTCACATATTTTTTTTTTTGGATTTATTTTTTATTAGAGTTTTATTGTATTTGTTAAGAG